ATTTTCTTTAACGGAAAGCAGCCAGACTGATCTGCGAGTGAAACCTTGAAAGCTCGCGAGATCAGGATGGTCTCACGAGGCTACTGGCTTCCTCCTACAGTCCTAAAACATGACTGTTAGGTGAACTGGCTTCTCTAAATTTTTGTGTGTATGGTTGTTTGTCCTGTTTCTATGTTGCCCTGGCAACCTGTCCAGGGTAGACCCCGCCTCCCTCCTGTAGAAAGCTGGAGATGGGCACTAGAACCCCTTGCGACCCCAGCAGGGATAAGCATGAAGGAAAGTGGATGGATTTTTAAATTCCATATCTGCTTCAGTCAACATAATGCTGTATTTATTGTATAGCATAAAATGTATTTCTTGATATGTAGCTTATAACTTGTTGCTATTTATCTTGGCACCATGCATTGGGCCAAATGATGGCACCAATATCATTTCTGTCACTTATTGTGTCCCCTGGTGCTGGATTCAACAAAGCAGACACAGAGTTTGAACTCATTCAGCTCGAAATCTTTTCCCGACCCCGCTAACTTCACAGCGTCAGTTGCCATAGTAACCAAGTCAGACTCAGCCAGCTGTATGAAACCTATACGATAAAAAAAAGTCAGACTAAGCCAGTTTAATAAAACATCCTTCTGGTATATTTGCTGTTTTGATGCAGGACGGAAACAGACATTATTGATGGAAAATAGAAGTTTGCAGCACAGAGATGTTTGCATGAGATTCTTTAACCACAGGAACCTTAAAAGCTAGATTAACATCTAGCTATGTTTGGGCATGCAACAACTAGAACAAAAAGAAACCTTTTCAGATGATTTAAAACAAAAGTGAGCAGAATAACTTTTTTTCCTCTGTTCCTCATCTGGTTCATATGTAAACTGTACTTTTCCTTGTAGTTGCAGCAAAGTTCACCCACCAGTCGAAGTCATTGTAGTCGTTCTCAGCTTGTCCCCAGAAGTAGAGAAACAGCAGCGTGAGACAGAAAGCTGCAACCAGCAGAGCGAAGGCGGCTCCTTCCAGCTGTTGGCATCAGAAACCAAACAGGTCATTACAGAGAAGAAAACATTTTTAAACCTGTTTAAACCTGAATTGCATCAACCTATACACAGAAGGAAGAAGCACATGTAAAGGTTTGAAGTTGAAAATAAAAATGTGGCGCTGCATGCTCCTTCCAGGCGCCACAGAAAAAAAGGTTTTACTGCATTTTAAGATGATTTTTGAAACAGTTCTACAAAGAAGACATATACTTAAAAGCAGTGTTGGG